GAGAGAGAACGCTTTGCCTAGGCAATCAAGAAATTGTCCACATGTTTTTGTGGTTCAAATTCGTGGCATCTGACAAGGGTAGTGGTGTATAGCAATAATAAATGTACTACAATAATCCTATCCACATGTCCATTTTTAAGAGTAACCGCCACACCTAAAAATTCCTACCTGGTGGATCGGAAGAAAATATAAAAAAACTATTTTCAAATTTTATTTTATTTTTTATATTCATGATCATCGTAGTGCAGATCATAGATTTTTAAAAATTTGGATCCAAGATCTATATAAATAAAAAATGGGTGCTAGAGGGAGCCCGCACTAGAAGAGTATAGGTTAGTGGACTCATAAAATCCAGGTCCTCCAAAATAGCCAATAGATAACACCTTTTTATCTTTAATAATATACAACTTTCTTTAAATTGGCATTCAATTCTTTTTTTTTAAATCAAAATTAGCATTCTATTGTTATTATCAAATTGATTCATTATTTGTTTTTATCACTTATTTACGAAAAAGGATCCGTGCACCGGATCATGCACCCCAAAAACAGGTCCAGATCGATGAATCGGTGGTTCGGATCAACGAATCGGACGGATCAATCAAATTCGGCCTTACAAAATTCAAAAATTTATAAAAAAAACCATATAAATTTGTTTTTAAGAATCCTATAAAAAATAGGAGTACTACATTATTAATTTCCATTCTTTTACATCAATATGCGAATAATGAGATATTCTTTTTTTGTATGATCTAGTGTTATACATTGAATTTACATCACACAAAAGAAAAAGCGTACAATTATCATGGATGAAATATATAAGCATACATGGACTAGAATAAAGTATACAATTAATAAAATACGACCTAAAACCAAAACAAAAAATTATGTTATTCTTCATTTTGGTCATATTGTTTCCACTTGTTGAATTCACGTAACAATTCATTGACTCAATATAGGAACAAATCATCCAAATTAGTGGTCAACTGACTATACACAAATCCCTCACTGTATTCAATAAGACATTTATCTAGCATAAATTGACAACAGTAGACAACAAATCAATAAACAAACAAATTTATCTGAACAAACTAAATAATAAACGGTAAACAGCTAAAAAAATTAAATTTTTAAAACACCTAGATTTCAATAATTCATCAGATTTCTTTGATAATTAGTATAAAATTACAAAACAAATAAATCTTGCTAAAAATATCATAAAAAAATACAAAACAACAAATGACATTACCTGATTTTAATGAAAGCTAGTATTAACAAGATCATTCAGCAAAAAATTTGGATCGAATTGATGAAGAATGGCCCCTTAATTCATGATTTTGCGGAAAACCAACACCCGCTCAAAAAAACTGTAAATCTCGCTAAAAAACAAAATCGTAAAAAAAAAATACAAAAAGACGAATCACATTACCAGATTTTAATGAAAGATAGTTTTAACACCATCATTCAGCAAAAAAAAAAAAAAATGGATCAAATTGAAGTAAGAATGGTCGCCAGATTCACGGTTTCGCGAGAAACCCTAACCCGCTCAAATAACTGTAAATCCCGCTTAAAAAAAAATCGTAAGAAAAAAACATATAAAACAACAGATCACGTTACCTGGTTTTGATGATAGCCAATATTAACACAACCATTTAGAAAGAAAATGGATCAAATTGTTGAAGAATGACCACCAAGATCACGGTTTTTTCGCAAAACCCTAACCCACTAAAAAAGACCCAAATTTTCAGTAAAAAAAAAAAAAGCACATGAATGTATTTTCCTGGGTTCGTTTCAACACCAATCAAATGTTTAATATATTTAAAAAATTATTTCCCTCAATTAATGATAAAAAAAAAAGACATTTTTACTGTTCGAGCAGTTTTTTTGGTAAAAAAGGCGTAAATCACGAGATCCACTGTAGCATTGTCACTTTCACTGGAGCGAAACAGCATTTTCACTGTAGCAAATGCAGTTATACAAAAAAAATTAAGACACGTCATTATATCTATTTTACTTTTAAAATTGAAATCTTCATTTAAAAGCCAAAAAAAATAAAATATATAATGTTGCGTTAAAAATTATACTTTCACTTGGTTAAAATATTTCACAAATTACAAATGAAACAATATATTTCATTTAAAAATATTCTGTATTCATGTTATGAATTTTACATTCATGTTGTTTTCCACTATTTCATCCGAAAGCTATAAATTTGACATAAAAAGGTAATATTCATTTATTTTAGATATATGTTATTTTTCAAATATTTATTTTAAAAATATAACCTTCTAAAAATAATTTCAAAACAGCATATTATTAAAAAAATTAATAAATGAGCTTAAAACTATCACTATAAATTAAAATTTATAATTATAACTATAAATTAGAATTTATAATTATAAGTATAAAATGAAAACTGTAATTTTAAATAAAAAATAAAAATTGTAATTTTAAATATAAAATAATTATAGCTATAAAATAGAATTTATAATTATAAATATAAAATAAAAATTGTAATTTTAAATATAAAATAAAATTTATAATTGAGCAATATCATAATGAATAATAAAATTAAAAATAAACCGTAAATAAAAATATTCTTCTTTCATAAAAGATGTACATGACATTACTCATATTTTTATTTATTTACTTAAACACTTTAATGATCAAATTTTTAGGTAAGTTTTTTAATCTCAGTTAACGATTTATGACTTTATAAGTATAATCTCAAGATTCAAAAAATATGAAAGAAGAAACGCTATGAAATGCTATTAAGAAAAAAATATTTCTTGAATTACAATACTAAAATCATGATTTTTTTTTTCGTCATGCGGTATTTTCTTTCTCTATAATTATTATACTTTTTAGGGTGGAAAATGTAATCAACTTTTCCAAGGAAAAAGAAAATAATTGGTGAACCAACCAGCCTATTAAATGGTATTGGCCGGACGTTTAGAATCAATAAGAGCGTATCAAACGGCTATTATGTATGGGCACTTTTTTATTTTTTTATAAATCTTTTTGAGCTGAGATATTGTGCAGATGCAGTAGGTGCATGAAAAATAAATAATAATAATAATCCAAAATAAAAAAATAATAAAAATTGCCTCATAGTTGAACTGAACATAGTCATTGGGAGCGCCCCAATAGGATGGTGCTCCGGCATTCCATAATCAGGATCTCGCTCAGAACATAATTTTTTTTATTTTGAGATCTGGCTCCGATTTTATGAGGTACTCGCTCTGATGAACAAAAGGATCTCGACCCCCACACACAACAGTGCACGATCGTGAATATTACATATCCCTTTCCTGAATAAATAAGGTCCTCAAACCCTGAAATTTGAGAGCGTGATCCCTATGTCCATGAAACTCCAATGCCTAACGAATTCTAGAATATCCCTTTCCTGAATAAATAAGGTCCTCAAACCCTGAAATTTGAGAGCGTGATCCCTATGTCCATGAAACTCCAATGACCAGTGAATTCAAGAATATCCCTTTCCTGAATAAATAAAGTCTTCAAACCCTGAAATTTGAGAGCATGATCCCTATGTCCATGAAACTCCAATGACTAATGAATTCTAGAATAAACCAGAATGAGATCTTGCTTATGTGGGAACGGTTTGCGGGGCTTGGTAGGAACATAAATCCAAGTGTAATAGGGTTGGGTTATTGATACAAGTGGAGTTCTATCATGGAAATGCGGATCAATTGGGCATGGAACTCGATCAATCCTTGAATGGAGTTCGATCTTTCTAAAATAAAAACACGATTCAACACCAAATGGGATCTCGTTCCTATTTCAAATATGAGTGTGATCCTATTGTATATACGAACGCGATCCCATGTGTCCCCATTAAGTATAAAGATCCCATTGTGTTGGGAACATGTACTGCATATGGGATCTGGTTCCGCTACTTTTACCCAAGGGAACTCACTCCTCGAGAGCCGAAGCTTTAGGTAGCCATTGTACACTACCATTCCCAACCTTGGAGCCGTTCCAGCTCCGGCTCCCGGTAACTATCGATCTGAACAGGGCAGGGCAGATTAGATTGTTAAATCTAGGCCATCTGGCCAGTCAAGTTAGATATCAAGTTCCAACCAAAGAAAAATCGCAAAGAGAAGAACCATGGTCTTAAACCAGAGTAAGAAGTGAAGGGCAGATCTAACTGGCAGGGCAGAGCTAAACCAGGAGGTATTAGTTTTAGTTACAGCTTTCCAGAACCACATATAACCCCAAAAAAATTTCATTAATTTCTCAGACCCACATATAACCCAAAAAAAAATTTCATTAATTTCTCATCAAACACCTTGGAAAACTGCTAACGATTTCAAAAAGAAAAAGAAAAAAGAAAAAAGAGAGCAGAAAAGCCACAGTTTCTATTCCATTAAATGGTTGGTAAAGAAGGTTTTATGAAACTGGTCACAGAGAAAAGAACTGCAAAGCTAGAGATAGTGGGTTCACCCAATGGAAGTGTGTAAAAGCATCATCCAATGGTTCATATTATTGTAGTATTTAAATTTAATTTTTTTTACAATTCAATTATCATGAAAATTTTAAAGTAAGTGTGCCACACTTGAGTACATTTAAAATATATTAAAAATTCTTTTTAAAAAAATAAATTGATGAAATCAAAGTATGTATGAATGTTTAGGAGGTATTTTGCTTAATTTTTTAATAATTTTTAAAAAAGATAAACTATTCAACACCTTATCCCTTTGGAGCTATTCCGACTCATAATAATGTGCTTTGAAATTTAAAATGTAAATAGTGTGTCTCATGAATATTTAAATAACTCCCCAGTCATAATCAAAGGTTTTTAGGTGCGTAATTGAAGTGCAACCGTAATTTCTAATTCTGCATCATTATATAAACTTTTTTCGTAAAAATAATGCGCACCCGTAGCATACACGGCTGAAGCATTAATGTTTTAGACGGCTGTCATGTCACCCTGAAAATGTGGTATCAATCGTACGGCAAATAAATCATGTGAATGTGTCAGTAGACTATTGGCCTCGTGAAGAGGTAAAACGCACTGCCCAAAAAGCAACATTTTTTCAACGACGGATCCTTGCTTTCATCTCTTGTTTCGGATGAGGAAACATTTTTACAGGAAGAATCAAACAATAAATAATAATAATATTTTAAATACAAATATTGACTAAAATATCCTTAAATAATTTTGGTCAATATTTTATCTAGATTTTAAGTTTCAAATAAATATAATTTTTAAATAAATTAAAGAATAAAACTATTTTATAGCCCTTTAATTAATTTGAATTGTTAGATGATATTCGTCAAAGTGCCCACCGCACGTGGAAGCTCTACATTGTTGCATGTATGGGTTTTTTTTTTCTTTCTTCATTTTTTTTTTTCTTTTATCCCTTTGAAATTAACTATGCCTTATTGGTCTTTTACTTCTATTTTGAAGGCTTTTCCAACGCATTAAAAAAAAAAAAAAAGCCTTATCTCAAAATCTGAAAATACTTTGGCATGAGAAGTCTCTGTAACAGCTCTAAAATCAATTTTCACAAATGGTTATGAAATTAATAACTCAAAAAATAGTATAGATATTGTAGATCCATGAACACTTATTTTTTTCTAAATAATGTGTTATACTATACATTATTTATAGAGCTTGAAATCCCAATTGTTTTTCACAAACATAATCATACAAAACTACAATGCTCGACTAGTTTTTAAGGTGAAGTTTTACTTGTTTTGATTGGGTGTAGTCCTATCAAAATATTTTCCTTTATAAAAAATCAATGTTTTGTTATTTCAAAGTCCTTTTGTTCTGTCAATTTCTCTCCACCCATCCTTTCTCTTTAATCTCAATTAACATCATGGCTGCCTCCTCTTCTCTCGCTCTCATCCAATATTGACTTTCTCATCCATGTCAAGCACAAGGTCTTTTGATCCTAAAGAAAATATAAAAAATATGAAAACGTGCAGTAAATGTAAATTGAAACCTAAAATAAATAAGCTTATAAATATAGAGAAAAATATATATAAAAAAAAGTTTTACATGTGACCCATCTATACAAAGTAGATTTCGTCCAATCTAGGTAGATGCCTTGACTCTGCATCAGATCTTGATCCGACAGTATATATGAACCGTGCTCTCTACCGTCGGATCTAAGTAGATGCCTTGGATGCCTTGACTCTACATCAAATCTTTGATCCAACGGCTCAAAATATATGTTCTCCACCCTAAAGAGCGAGAAGAAACAGGGATTTTGCTCGTAGAGAGAGAATCTTGTGTGCGTGGCCTTTTTAAATGGCATCCATGGGGCTTAAGAGCTGGATTTGGATGTAACGGTGGAGGAAAAGTGTTTTAGCAAGAGCGTTGTGGTCTCACCATATCACTTTTTCATTGGATTCCATCGTTTTTTTTTTTTTCCAAGTTATCGGTTTGGGCCCTTTTAAAATATTTTTAGATGGATTTTGAATCTAAAATTTTATTTAGTTGGTAATAATGCTATTATAAATATATAAAAAAATAAATTTTAAATTTTAAAACTGAGTCTTTTACTAATTGACTTATTCCTTGAGACTTTGCCCATTCATGCCAAGAATGCAATAACAACTCGGGTAATAACAAAAAACTCAAATTGAGTAATGACACTATGGGACCCTCTCACATCCGGATGTAGGTAGAATCCTAAAAGATCACCATTAATTTTTTATACATATATCTAGAAAATTTTTGACATGGATATGGGATTTGGATGACTAGATTTATTG